CAGCCAAGTGGATCAATGAGGGGAATGCGTGCCATTTAGTGGTGGGATGGTGAAGGTGGGATAGAGCAGGTGGATGTGTTCTTGTTTCTACGTGTGTTTACACTTTATTATTTTGGGGAAAGTAAAGCAGCTCATCAGGCATAACCTCAAAATCTTCCTGACATTGGGGTATGTCAGACACTTCAGAACATCCATTTAGGGCAATCTTACAGAGTAGGGAGCAATCAGTAAGGTTGCTCAAAGGCAAATGAGCTCTACAAGCCCCTCCAGTCTCCCTGATACCCTGTTCTCTTATCCTTCCCTGTGGCTCAAGAATGGAATGGCAGAATTAGAAATCAGATGTCTTGGGAAGAAAATCAAACTGTTATATGATAGTATTGCTTAGAGTCACATAAATAAAAGCCACACTGGGCATTGCTAAACATCTGCATTTAGAATTTAGGAAAAACATACTGCCCCATCAAATTCTGAAAGCAAGCACAGAGCAAGATTATAAAGAGCAAATACCATTTTCAGTTTTATAATCTTTAGTATTTAATACCAGGGGATCAATGATTGGTGCTTTACAGTTCTGTCCTTTTAAAATTCTACCTTTTACTTTTCTTCCAGACTTCGTTTTTAAGTTTGTTGTAAATACGGTGCTAAATAATATAAAGTGCTAAATCCATCATGGCTGTACCTGTGGTTTCCTTAATCTTGGGGAGCCGATGGCATCCATCTCTCAATGTGCCAAACAGGGGTTCAGTGTTAATGGCTGTGTGCAGAGCAGGCACTGTCATCCGTGGACACATCCCTTCTGTCTGTGGGTGCAGTTCCTTAAAGGTGGCTCCATGGTTGGGAAGCCCAGGGGCTCGCTCCTCTGAAGGAATGTAATTCACACCTTTCCCAGAAGTGTCAGGAATCAAGTGCTTCCCCAGGGAGGGACAGAGCGGCGACTCCACGGGTGTGGCGCAGGCACTGCCACTGCTGCCCGTGCCACAGCCTGCATCCACTGAAGAGCCTTGGGAGCTCTGCAGAGAAAAATGGCCCTCGCTTTGCAGTGAAGACATCCGCTTGGCTAAGTGGTAGTCGCAAAGGCGGGCCACACTCTCATCAGCCTCAGGAAGCTTGGAAGGATGGTCGCAGGTGGACGAGTCAGCGTCCTCTGGGTTATCTAAGTCTTTGGCTGAAGATGCACAGGTCATGTCAGTTAAGAAGCGGTCCCCTTGACTAAGTCCTGAGCCATCACTGGCTTCTCCATCAGGAGCTCCTTCTTCCTTCCCTTCGGCCTCCCTTGCCCCAAGACCAGAAGCTCTTGGAAAGGTTTTCCCCGATGCTGCTTCGAGTCCGCTTTTTTCAGCCATCCCACCTTCAGCGGCCACATACCATCTTTGGCTGTCCTTGCGAAAGGCAGTTCTCTCCAGATTAAAAGTGCTCAGGTGTTGACTGTCCCGTGAAGAGACAGTACCAAATTTACCACTGGCATCCTCCTCCATCTCTGCTGTTTTGGTCCCCTGTTTTTTTCCTGTTGTGTTCGCATTAGAGGGTGCCTTCCCCTCACCATCGGCCAGCTTGCTTTTCCTTTTGCTAGTGCAGGAGTATGCCACCGACCCCATGTGCAGTTTGCTGAAATAGTCAGTGACTGACTTAGTCTCCATGGTTTCAGGCTCCATCTCCATGTGGTCTGAGTGAAGTAACTGCTTGGAAGGCACGACTTTGGGCGGGAGGTCGGTTGCTGGCCTAGCAGCCAGGGCATGTGAGGACTTTGGAGGTAAGCCCCCAGCGGGGGTTTTGGAGGCCGGAAACTCGGTCTGTTCTTCTGCAAGGGGGTGGTAGCCTTCATGAGTGGCCAAGAACATGCGGGAGAGGTTTTCTGACTGTTTTTGTGCTGTGGCCAGTTCAGAACTCTCAGTCATTTCAGAAGAGTTAGTTTCATTGCCCGAGTCTGACGAAGACTCAGGACTATAAGCCCGCAAGATGGCTACACCTGCATGCCGTAAAAAACAAGAACTGATTAATGGATGCATCAGAGGCACTTGGAGACATGTAAGAAAATGGGACTCGTTATTATTAAAAGAAAATACCAAGTTTTTCCCTTTTCAGTAAGGACTCTGAGTTTATTGCACAGTTGTTCCAGAAATGGGGGAGAGATGTGCCTTATGTTTTTTTAAAAAAAAAAAAAAAAAAGCAAAGAAAATCACATACACACACACACACACACACACACACAAAACCCATGATGGTAGTTTCAGCACATTTATGAAATGGGACATGTGTGAAATGGAGAACACCACGTAACAGGACTCCAAGGGCAAATGGCTTGGAAGGATGGAAGGATATGGTTATCAGTGAATGAATGTAACAATTGTGAAAGAACCTGAATTGTCACTGGTCTGCTGTTCTTCTGACACGGATAGAGCCTCTAGAGCTCCCAGCGTGGAGACGACGGCATTATCCAGTCCCTTCTCACACTTGCCTTCGGTGCTGGTGGGCACAGCGTCAATGAGAGACACGGGGATCTCATCATTTTGCAGGCTGCTGCCTTTCTCCTTATCCTCGGGGAAGGAAGCTGCCTGGGTCTGAGAGTCCTCTTCATCTGAACTGTCTCTAAAGCCAGGTGGGGGTGCGGCAATGGCCATGTTCAAAGAACGCAACAGGAAGTCATCCTCATTGTCATCACCTTCTGGAGGTGGTAGGGATGTGAGGTCAATGATGTCATCACTTGACCCAGACAGGTTGAGGATAGCCGGCTGGTTCATCTCCCCCACCACGAGGTCCTCCTCACAGCTCACCTCATCCTCGTCCTCTGCATCATCGGTGTTTTCTGCATAACAGATGTCATGCAAGAGGGGCTCCTCAATCCCCTCCGTGGCCTGGAAGCTCTTCACATCGCCTATGTTTGCATACACAGAATTTTCCACAAACTGGATGCCCTCTGCATCTGGAGTGAGATCCAGGCCTTTCATGTCATTGGCACTGCTGATGTAGAGATTTCTCTGCTTCTCCAGCATTTCAGGACTCTCATCTAGTAGTGTTTCATAGCCGAGAGTTGGGGGACTAATACCATCATCCAAGGCGAAGTCTCCAAAAATAAAGGACACTTTAGCTCCTCTCGGAGATTCCTGTGCTTTCTTCAGAGTTTCTGGTCCTGAGAGGGTCAGTAGGGACCGCTGAGCTAGACTTCTGTAGTCTGCCTCACAGGGGGCCTCCCCGGGCTGGCTCAGCTGCTGGTTAAGTCCATCTGAACTATAGGCATTGTCTATGTACAAGTGCCGGTGCTCTTTTGGACACATGGTGCTGTCTGTGATCTCCACCGCCTTCTGCTTTGAATCTATGTATGTTATCTGGGCTTCTTGTTCCCCTTCGCCAATAAAGGTTGTCATTTGGGGTATACAGTTCCAATCTGGACCAAGGAGGTTATGCTTCCCCTTGTTTTCAGTTCCTAAAGAGAAAGAATCATGCAAAGACACATTACTGTGCTGTCTGGTTCTGGGTGGAGGACGGGGCTCGTCTCTGTTTTTTAATTTCATGGCTTGTAGCATCACTTGTGTAAATACAGGTTTACAGCTACCCAAATATAGTACTTGTCAATTTGGGTGTAAGCATTCCTTGGGTTAGGAGAACCAACGTTAACAAAATCCATACTGCATATTGATACTGCACAAACTAGAATTGCTATTTGATCAAATGTAATGTCATCTGGGGGTAGGGAAGTATAGCTTAATTCCATCTGACCCTTGTTTCTATTCTTAAAAGGCTTCATTTATATCTACGAATGTGAATATACAACGTGCTTTTTACAACCCTTAAAGGGGAGATTTCAGTAGGCTGTTATTCCAGAAAATAGATTTTCCTTTTCTTTGTAAAGTGAGATCCAATATTTCCTAGTTTGTGGAGGAAGATAATGAATGTTTTCCTCATTGAGTTCAGAGATGGTCAAAGATTGTCACCGTTTTACCATATATTTTAAGGAAAGTAACATACATATTGTAATGATCGTATAAAACTTCTATCTTCAATTTTTTGATATCCTAGTGGATGTTAAAATAGTCTTGTATAAATGTCAGTATGCATGCCTGTGTGTGTATGCATATAAGATGCATAAGGTGGAGTGGTTACAGGTAATGTACTTTTCTCTGTAATTTCTAGGCATAATTAATATTTAGATTAATTTCCATTTTTATTTATATCATGGGAACTCTTGAAGATTTGATGTTCCTCATGAATTAAAATGACAAAAACCCCAGTTGAAATACTGTTATTGTGTTTGCTCTTCAAGGGTGTTTCAATCTGGAATTTTGATGCGGGGATTTGCTCTGATATTTAACAAGACAGAGAACTAGGTCATTCTGTTGATACTGCCTTGTAGATTCCAGAGGCAACATTCTGAGAAAATTTTAGGGCCATACTATTCTTCCATCTGTTCCTTCAAATAGCACAAGTTTGTGTAACTGACATCAGATGTGCAAGACATATGGGGGAAAAGTACAGTTTTACCAAAGAGGTTTCTGCTCCCCACAAATCATGCAATGGACTTAATGCTGAACAATTCTCAGGGTCATTTTAATAAAATGTATTTTCATGAACAGTAAGAGAGAAAATTTTGAAGACATTGAATTATACACTGGCCATATTTGCATCTTACCTTACAATAAATAAACCTTGTTGGGGGTTCAGCATTATTTTATTAAAAACAACAATTTAGATTATGACTGGATGTGCCTGTGGGGCGAAGTGTGTACGTGAGTGTGGATTGTCGTGGGAGGAACAGTAGTTCAGCAAAGTTGCATTGTAAGGCAGCTTTGGACCAGGGCTTGGCAAACATTTTCTGCAAAGGGAGGCCCAGATGGTACATATTTTGGTTTTGTGGTCTAACCATTCAATTGAGCAACTACTCAACTTGGCTGTTTTAACATGAAAGTAGCCATAGATGCTACCAATTGGTGTATGGGTTGAAAGGTGGCCCCCAAAAGATATGTTCACTCTGTGAATGTGACCTTATTTGGAAAAATGTCTTGCAGAGTTAAGGATCTTGAGATTATTCTTAATTGTCTGCCTGGGCCCTAAATTCAACGGCAGAGAGAGATTTGGGCCACAGAGAAGAGGAGGTGACCATGTGAAGACAGGCAGAGACTGGAGTCACGCAGCTACAAGGAATGCTGGTGGCCACCAGAAGTGCGAGGAGGTAAGGAGAAACCCTCCACTAAAGCCTTTGAAGGGAGCATGACCCTGTTAACATCCTGGTTTTGAACTCGTGGCTTCCAAAAGTGTGGGAGAATAAGTTTACGTTGTGTAAAGCTCCCAAGTTTGTGAGAATTTGTTCCAGCAGCCTTAGGAAAGTAAAACAATGTGCAGAGTTGAGTTCCAATAAAACTTTATTTGCAAGTACATGATTTGGCCCATTGACCATAGTTTGCCAACTCTGGTTTAGATGAACAAGAAAACTGAATAGGTCAGCAGGCTCAAAGCAAGCTGATGGATACTTACTGAGACCCTCCTAAAGCCCAGAGATGCATGCCTATGTGAGGCCATGGATTTTGAAAGTGGTTAAAGGCTAATTTTCAGGATAGAGAATGAAGAAATGGGGGTTCTTATTGGAGATCTTGACTAAGGTCTGGGATCAATTTGAGGTGAGATGAAAATATGTGCAGCTGGGTGTGGTGGCTCATGCCTGTAATTCCAGCACTTTGGGAGGTCGAGGTAGGCAGATCACCAGGTCAGAAGTTCGAGACCAGCCTGACCTACGTCGTGAAACCCCATCTCTACTCAAAGAAATACAAAAAATCAGCTGGGTGTGGTGGCGGGCGCCTGTAATTCCAGCTACTGAGGAGGTTGAGGCAGGAGAATTGCTTGAACCCAGTAGGCAGAGGTTGCAGTGAGCCGAGATCATGCCACTGTACTCAGTCTGGGTGACAAAGCGAGACTTTGTCTCAAAAAATAAATGTGCTCAATTGGGCTTCTTCCCAGAAGGATCTACTGATTTGGCTTCCTGGAATAATTTTGGAGATGTGGAAGAATGTAGGTTGGGGGCTGGGATCTATTCTGTAGCCCAGTCTCCTACAGAGTGGAAGGAGAGAATGGACTGGGGAAGACCTAGGCTGATGGGACTTATGTTCTGTATTTCTTGACTCTTAGATCTTTTGGGAGTTTCTGAAGAGAAGAGAGTGCGTTTAGCATTAGAGTATGCTAGGTCAAGACTGCTGTTCAACCTAGGTCTGCCAGTTTCTTTCTGGAGTGTGCTCTCTTTCCCCTATCCTTGCTTCTCTCTCTCTCCACCTACATCCGGCCCTCTGTCTTTGACAGTGGGGAAAGGTATTTGAAACTGGGAGACATGATGGTGAGACTGAAGTCGCATTCTTTCCCCACAATAATAATACTTTCTGTAACTGAGTTTTTGCCTCTTGCAGTTCTATTAAACCTTATGTTGTGGGTCACTATGAATCGGACAGAGTGGATAACTGTAACCATGTTTAGAATAGTAGGTTTGGATTTCTTCATATACCTCTGCAATCTTTATAGTCCATGAGGAAAGGATTGATCTTCAAGATGAACTTTACAATTTGAAAATAAGCCAAAAACTGTGGTTTTCCAATAGAAGACAATTGTGTCAAATTGCTGAACTGCTCTTTGGAATTTATTTTCTTTTTTTAAGAGACAGGATCTTGCCTTGCCACCCAGGCTGGAGTGCACTAGTGCGCTTGGCTCACTAAAGCCTCGACCTCCTGGCTAACGTGATCCTCCCACCTCAGCCTCCCAAGTAGCTGGGACGACAGGAGTATGCCACCACACATGGCTAGTTTTTAAATTTTCTTTTGTAGAGACAGGGTTTCACTTTGTTGCTCAGGCTGTTCTCAAGCTCCTGGGCTCAACTGATCCACCCACCTGGGACTCCCCAAGTGCGGAGACTACAGGCTTGAGCCACCGTGCCGAGCCTTCGTTGGAATTTAAAAGGTCAGCAATAAATTGCTCTAAATCTCCTAGCTCAATGAAAACATGTGGTCATAAAAATGTTTGCTGCCTGTTGGGCATCATGGCTCACTCCTGTAATCCCAGCAGTTTGGGAGGCAGAGGTGGGTGGATCACAAGGTCAGGAGTTCAAGACCAATCTGCCCAACATGGTGAAACCCTGTCTCTACTAAAAATACAAAAGTTAGCTGGGCATGGTGGTATATGCCTGTAATCCCGGCTACTTGGGAGGCTGAGGCAGGAGAATCACTTTAACCTGGGAGGTAGAGGTTGCAGTGAGCCGAGATCACACCATTGTACTCCAGCCTGGGCAGCAGAGCGAGACTCCATCTCAGAAAAAAAAAAAAATTTATTGCCAAACCCAATGAACACCTGTCACCTCCTTTGTATTCTTTCCTTTTCTATATTTTTATATTTATTTTTGAGATGGTCTTGCCCAAGCTGGAGTGCTGTGGCATAATCTCCACCTCCTGGGTTTAAGCAATTCTTTTTTGCCTCAACCTCCTGAGTAGCTGGGACTACAGGTGCATACCACTATGCCTTGCTAATTGTTGTATTTTTACCAGAGGTGGGATTTCACCATGTTGGCCAGGGTAGTCTCTATTTCCTAACCTCATGATCTGCCCACCTCGGCCTCCCAAAGTGCTGGGATTACAGGCGTGAGCCACCACATCTGGCCTTCTGTATTTATTTGTAAACGTTTGTGTGTTTCTATCGCTTTCTAATTTTTAAAGGTGTAGTCCTAGCTCACTACAGCCTTGACCTCCTAGGCTTAAGGTATCCTCCCACCTCAGCCTCCTATGTAGCTGGGACTACAGGCACGTGCCACCACACCTGGCTAATTTTTATATTTTTTGTAGAGACGGTGGTCTCCCTTTGTTGCCCAGTCTGGTGTCAAACTCCTGGGCTCAAGTGATCCTCCTGCCTCAGCCTCCTAAAGTGTTGGAATTATAGGCATGAACCACTGCACCCAGCATCTATCTCTGTCATTCTCAGTTCTTTCTGCCACTGTGTTTTCTTTCACTGCCAGTTATTAACAGAGTCATTTTAGATGATGTACCTAGATGTTTTTTTTCCAATCCTTGCAGGCTAGTTTTTTAATCCCATTTTACAAATGAGGAAACTCAAGCTCAGATTGATTTGACTTGAAGGTCCAAGTGCTGCCTTCTAACATGGTTTGTCCATCTCTCCTTGTTTCTGGCTTCCCTTTTTCTATGCCTGAGCTGCTTCTCCTCCCTGGCCATCATAGTAAACTGTGTGTGGGTCTGTATGCATGTGTGATCATGTCTATATATTGCAACATATTTATGGAGTAAAGATTGATGTTTCTGCTCAGTTTAACAGAGAACGTCCTTCTCTTTTTTCCTGCATTTTCTCTGAGAAATGCAGGGTTGAGGGGGAGAAAAAGACACAACAGTAAAATTTAAGAATCCCCCTTTCTTTTAAAAGAAACCCCAATTATGGCACCTCTGGCTATAATTTTTTTTAACTGGTCAGTGGCTGTGCCTAGAATGGTGGCATCTGTCTATCAGTGACATTTACTAAGCATCCACTGTAGATGAAGGAAAAAGCTTAAATAACTGAAGAAATAATGTCCTAAACCCAATGAAAACCACCTACTGTCAAAGGAGTAATCAGTTTAACATTTGCAGCACTCCCTGTCCTCGCTGTGGGGGTCCTTTTGTTCTGTCAAGTGACTGAATTGAATTATTTGATGTCTTTGCCATCTGGGTGCTCCTACTATGGATCCAAGATGGCTTCAATTCTCTTCTAGTGCCCTCAAGTCCAAGTGCTAGGCAATAGCCACATCTTTGTGTTTATAAAGTTCCCAGAATCCTGGGCATCAGTCTTGTCAGGCCTCCAAGCCTGGCCATTATAGCCTTGGTGACCTGCACGTGCACCTCTGGATGGTCCCGAGGAGCCAGAAAGTCTGAACCACAAGTAACCAGGTGGTCACAGAAGTAAAACAAAAAACTTGTTCCTGCCTCCACTAATTGCTCTCCCCCTGCAACCTGCAACCATTGTTCCTGCTCAGCCTTGTGGAGTTTCCACCCTGGACATTGGGTTTCTCAAGACCCCACTCGTGTAACTGTGTAATTTACCTACCTTCCCCTCTGCGTGTAATGGATAACCCCCACCGTTATGATCATGCATGTTTGTAATAGATGCCCCCTACCCTTGTGACCATGCATCCCCTGATGCCCTTCCCCTCCCGAAAATAGATTACCACATTTAACTGACCACTTGCCCCAATGTGTAAAACCAACTCCTATCCCACTGTGCTCCACTGGCTCTCTATTCAGACTCAGCCTACGTGCACCCAGGTGAACAGCCATGTTGCTCACACAAGGCCTGCCTGGTAGACTCTTTACCTGACTGACATGCCTAACATTTGGTGCCAAAACCCAGGACAGGGGAACTCCTTCGGGAGACCAAACCTCCTGTCCCTACTCCTTGTGGCCCCTCCATGAAGAGACCTACCTATGACCTAGGCTCATCAGACCAGCCCACGATCCACTCACCATCCTCAGATCAGGTAAGCAGTTTGCCTCCACTCTTCTCTTTAGCCCTTCTCACTACCTGTCAGCCTCCTCCTCCTCTCAGTTTCATTTTCCTCTCCCTTTCAGTGGAGACAAGAAAGACAGGACTTTCTGTGAGGTTCATGACCAGAAAAAATCCCATGTGGATCATGGAACCGGGAAGACAGTCTTCCCTTGGTGACTGATCATTGCGGAGACATCTGCTCTGGTCACTCACTTGCACTCACTCCTAGGTGACGGATCAACGTGGGGGCACCCCCTTTGACCAGTTCACCCCAGGTTCAGACCAGATTTAGTCTGGGATGCCTGCTAAGCTGCTTGGTGTTCCATTCACTTTCCTCGTCTCTGCTGCCCTCCATTCCTCCCTCCTCTCCCTTAGCCTGTGTTCTGGGAAAAAAAAAACCCTGAAACCTCTCTGGCTCTCACCTGACCTAAAACCTAAGGGTCTTATTTTCTGCGATACCGCTTGGCCACAATATAAATTGGACAATGGCTCTAAATGGCCAGAAAACAGCACTTTCAATTTTTCTATTCTGCAATTTTTGTCAACAAATGGGCAAATGGTCTGAAATTCCCTATGTCCACGCATTTTTTTTTACATTCTAATCCCTCCCTAATCTCTGCTCTCAATGCAGCTCATCTCAAATGTTCCTTCTCTCCCTTCCATCCACTCCTACCTCTGCCAGTGATTCAGAATCCTTGTCCATTGACCCTTTTGACCTTTCTTCTCCCTGCCTGTCTGAACCAGACTCTAATCCAGGCCGTAACCCTGACCCCCCAGAGCCTCCCTCCTCTGCCCTCAACCCAACTCCTTATGCCCTTACTGTAACCTCTCCACCTCATACCCCATCAGGCTTGCAGTTCAGCCCAGGGTTAACTCCTCTGCTCCTGCCCCCAAATTCCCCCTTAGAGAGGTGGCTGGAGCCTAAGGCATGGTTAGGGTGCATGTTCCTTTCTCTTTATTATCTCACCTGGAGTAACATAAATGTCATTCTTATTCTCTCACCTCTGAAAAACATTTATCACCCAATCATCCCCTAACATTAAAAAAGCTTACAGAAATAAAAACCTGGCCCTCAAACCCCAAAGCAAGAATTAAATGACCTCCCCTTCAAGGT